GGTCAACATGTACCTCAGTTTTATAATTTTAAAACCTTGAAATCATCTGATATCAATTGGTAATATATTTCTGTGAACAAAAAAAAGCGATAGGGTCAACTTGCTACCCATAAACAAGTTTCACCTGGTGAACTCTATTCTGTTGACTTGTAATCAAGTACTAAATCATGGTCATTGCAAATGTATTAATCGTCTTGAAAGCAATAATTTTTCCAGCCATTTTTGTAGCCCCGGATCCCTGTGTAGTTTTGGTGTGTTTACCAGGGTTCTCCCCAGGGCTTTTTAGCGCCGAGGTCCGCGGCGCTATACCTGTGAATCTCGGCGCTTCACTTGGGACCTCGGCGCTATGTGTTCCCACCTCGGCGCTTGATTTCATATTTGACATGCCAATATCAGATGTGAAAAAGCTTTGTTCGCCACGCCGGTCGGCCCCGACCGTCACTCAAAATTAGTGACCACCACGGAAATGCTTCCGACGAGGACTATTGTCTGATTGTTAGTATAATTACGTACCGACAGACACGCATCCTGTCAGTCGTGGATTATAATTTATAAACAATAGACCTAGTCGCACGATACGTAGCGGCTAGTCAAATTTGTGGAATTAGCACCTCTTTGTTTGTAAGTAAATACTTTCTGCGATAGACACAGTCTTTAGATTGAAAGCTAAAATTATTTCAAAATCAATTCCACCTCGATATAACATGGTCAAATCGGAGTTCACGATCAGTTCACGCTACTCAAGAAAAAAACGTGTTTATTGCGTGATTTGGTAAAATACATTTGAACTTTTATCATTGCGAATCATGTAAAAACTCTTCTTTCAAGACCTAATTTACCTTTTAAAAATTGCAAATCACCTCTTTCGAAAGCTGTCATGCAGTTTTCAATTGAAATCGATGCCAACACATCGTGCTCCGACATCGCTTTACTTCCGCAATGTAATTTTTAAGATCACTACCATTCGGAAAACTTCGGGTTCTACCGGCATTACCATGCGGCATTTTGATTGGTTAATGGAATTTTTGACCCATCGGGTCAAAGGACACATGCT